CCTAAATGTGAGAAGTAACAGATTATGCAGCTCAGAAGTTAACAATGTTACTTTATGCTGAATGTTATCGGTTAAAAATTAACCCTGGGTGCCCCTTGAAAGATCTATAATAAATGCACCATATTAACTTGTAAGTGACTATATTTATATGCAACACTTTGCATTTCTACAGCATCTATCATCCACAGTCCTCCAAATGTTTTACATATATGCCATGCTGTGCAAAGGTATGGACTAAAGCAAACAAAATTAACTGCCTTAGCACAAGAAACAGCTTGTTACCTTAGCAATGTATACCCTTCCTGCTTTGGAAAATCCTGGACTCAGCTCTTCAGCCTATAAAGGAAGAAGGTTTGGAAGGGGGACAGGGGGGCGGGAAGAAGAGAGCAGGGAGAGAATTCATTAGGATTTCACATGGAGCCAATTTTATTACAACTCAAACAAAAAATGTTGCCTAACACAGGAGCCTGAGTTACACCCAGTTTGTGCATCAATTTAACTTGTCTGTTTAGAAACAGATGGAGTTAAAATCAGCACAATACCTACTAGAGTATTTTATATCAATTTAGTTTAATTCGGAATAATTGAGACCTTGGATTTCCACAAAGTGCCTGAAATTTAATAAGCAATGTTTATGTCCTACTCTAGTATTACACATAAAAACTACATTTAAAAGAACAATAAAGTTGCAAATTCATGCACTCAGAAGTTAGGAAATGCCAAAATTAAGATTGCTTGTGGAAGCCTACATTGTCCTCCTTGTGTTTAAATATTACAAAAATCAAATACACTTTTTTGATTCTGCATCAAATCTGTTTCCTCCTCCCTAACTTCTAGATTCACTTTTTCCTTCTCCCCTGCCACCCTCCAATTCTAGTCTCCATCCCACAGGCTCATGGTTCCAAACTATCTACCAGAAGTGGTCCCCAACCTTGTGGGGCTGCCGCGCACCCGGGGCCGGGGCCGCGCATGCCCAGGGCCCAGGGCCCAAGAATGGCTTGGGCCGGCCCTGATCACTCGGCGGGCACACAAGTGCCCCAGCAGGTGCCATGGCACCTGCGGGCACCGCGTTGGGGACCACTGTAACAGTTACTCTACCAGCTCAAGCCCTTGTCCCCTCTTCATTCAAATTAGGCAGCCTCCTCCATGCTGCTTACACTGGGGAGCAAGGAAGGAACAATGATGACTATGAAAGCACAAAAGTCTGTCTTGCTCAGTTCTTGGGTCTGGAACTAGAACTGACCTAGCCTGCAGTAGCTTAGATCTGCAACTGAAGGAAAATTCCTACTTAGCCCTAAGCTGAAACAACTTCAGTGTGGGGGGTGGAATCTCAAGTTTTTAGCTGTGAAGATCCTATAAGTTTAAGACGGTGTAAAACTGATTTTTCAAAGGTTTATAACATAAAATTGGACAGATTATTATACGGATAGCGCAAAAAAAACAAACAAAAAAAAATACATCACTGACATCAATGCCACCCACTGCCACATATCAGTTCCCTGTTCCAAAACATGGGGTTATGAGAGCTTAACATACACAAAAAAGCCGGTCTTGTTAAAAAATGAGCAAATACATTTCCCTAGCCTTGTCCTCAGAAATTAATAGACCGTAGTTGGATGCCAAAAAAAAGCCTCTTGCTGAGGCAGACATCCAGTTTGAAAAATTTCAGCCTGAAAAGTTACAGTCCAACAGTTATAAGCAAAGGAAAAACAGGATCTCATAATATGAAGAGATGGGCAACCTTAATAAAAGGCAGTCCTGCAAGCTCCACCTTTAAACTGTAAAATCATCAGTTTATGCATTTCTGAAACATACTTCTTCAGAGCATTCCAAAGCGCTACACAGCAGAACAGTCAAAATCAGGATAATGTTTAACCAGTTCATATTATACAGTCTCCAGCAACATTTAAGTATTAGAGCCATACATTTAATGATTTCCTTACCCCCCAGATTTTAGTACCTTTAAGAAGTTCTGCAGAGCATCAAGGACAGTGGCTGTAGGGGGTGTTTCATATAAAGCAGAAGCAGCCTTTCTTTCAAGCCATCCCAGATTAGAGATCTGCATATACACAGTAACATGAAACTATCAGCAAGGAAGTCAGTAGCCAGCATGCATCAGAAGGGATTCACACAGTATATGCAAAGTAGAGAGAGAGACATGGTCTAATTTACAGTATCTGCAGCAACCTAGCAGACACATACAAAGCCTTTTTGTTAACACCAGCTGACCCTGCCCACGTACACAAATCAATCTATCCGCAGAACTTGCATTCCTTCCCCACTGTCTCCACTACGACATATGCTGTAAATCACATTTTACAGTTCTGGCTGGTTAACAGTGACACATATAAGGCGCTGAATAAAATGTGTTTCCACAACTGTATTTTAAGGCTAAAACACAAGATTGTTTAAAGTCTGTTTAAAATCCTTATTATAACTACATCTGTTTCTGAAGACTCACCTATACATCAGAGCAGATCCATGTTATTAATAAACTAGGCAAATTCAACTTAGATGGGGCTACCATAAGGTAGGTGCATAACTGGCTGGATAACCGTACTCAGAGTAGTTATTAACGATTCACAATCCTGCTGGAAAGATATAACTAGTGGGGTTCCACAGGGGTCTGTTTTGGGACCGGCTCTGTTCAATATCTTCATCAACGATTTAAATATTGGCAGAGAAAGTACGCTTATTAAGTTTGCAGATGATACCAAGCTGGGAGAGGTTGCGACTGCTCTGGAGGATAGGGTCATAATTCAAAATGATCTGAGGTAAACCAGATGAAGTTTAATAAAGACAAACGCAAAGTGCTCCACTTAGGAAGGAACAATCAGTTTCATACATACAGAATGGAAAGCGACTGTCTAGGAAGGAGTACGGCAGAAAGGGATCTAGGGGTTATAGTGGACCACAAGCTGAATATGAGTCAGCAGTGTGATGCTGTTGCAAAAAAAGAAAAAAAAAAAAAGAAAACATGATTCTAGGATGCATTAACAGGTGTGTTGTGAGCAAAATACGAGAAGTCATTCTTCTGCTCTACTCTGCGCTGGTTAGGCCTCAGTTGGAGTATTGTGTCCAGTTCTGGGCACCGCATTTCAAGAAAGATGTGGAGAAATTGGAGAGGGTCCAGAAAAGAGCAACAAGAATGATTAAAGGTCTAGAGAACATGACCTATGAAGGAAGGCTGAAAGAATTGCGTTTGTTTAGTTTAGAAAAGAGAAGACTGAGGGGGGACATGATAGCAGTTTTCAGGTATCTAAAAGGGTGTCATAAGGAGGAGGGAGAAAACTTGTTCATCTTGGCCTCTGAGGACAGAACAAGAAGCAATGGGCTTAAACTGCAGCAAGGGAGGTTTAGGCTGGACATTAGGAAAAAGTTCCTAACTGTCAGGGTAGTCAAACACTGGAATAAATTTCCCAGGGAGGTTGTGGAATCTCCATCTGTGGAGATATTTAAGAGTAGGTTAGATAAATGTCTATCAGAGATGGTCTAAACAGTATTTGGCCCTGCTATGAGGGAAGGGGACTGGACTCTATGACCTCTCTAGGTCTCTTCCAGTCCTAGTATTCTATGATTCTAGGATTATGATTCTCCCTTTCCAAAAAGAAAAAAATTAGGGGGTTAAGTCTTGTACCAGAGTACAAGACTGTAAGTATGCCCTTACCATACACACACTGTCCTCATGGAAGATAAGCACAAGTTTTCACGCCCTCTGCAAAGCAGGCAACACTATAGTTCTAATACATACTCCATGAAATCTCATTCTCCTACTCCTGTTATCCACATGAAATAAGCATCTAGCATCCATATAACTCTCCACAATAATTCTATACAACAAGGACTTGCCAATTCTGAAAACATCTTGGCTATGTCTGGACTACAGGGTTTTTCCGAAAAAAGTGGCCTTTTTTCGAAAAAAACTTCCCTTGCGTCTAGACTGCCACCACTTTCTTTCAAAATGAAATTGAAAGAACGTGGCGTTTTTTTCGACAGTGGTAAACCTCATTTTACAAGGAAGAACTCCTTTTTTCGAAAGAGCTCTTTCTAAAAGAGGTGTTCTTGAATGCAAACAGGGCTTTTTTTGAAAGAGCATCCAGATTGCCTGGGTGCTCTTTCAAAAAAGAGGATGGCTTTTTCAAAAAAAGTGGCGGCTGTCACTCAGACTTTAAGGTCAGAAGAGACCACCATCATCATCTAGTCTGACCCCCTGCACAATGCCGGCCACAGAATCTTACCCACCCACTCCTAGAACAATCCTCTCACCTATATCTCAGATATTGAAGCCTCAGATATTGAAGATAATGATGGTTTAAAGACCCCAAGATACAGAGAATCCTCCAGCATGTAATCTGTGCCCCATGGTACAGAGGAAGGCGAAAAACCTCCAGGGCCTCTGTCAATCTACCCTGGAGGAAAATTCCTTCCCGACCCCAAATACGGCGATCAGCTGAGCATGTGGGCAAGACTCACCAACTAGACACCCAGGAAAAAGTTCTCTACAGTAACTCCTATTATCCCACCATTGGCCTATTTACCACTGATAGTGAAAGGTCAATTAGTTGCCAAGATCATGTTATCCCATCAAACCATCCCTTTCATAAATCCATGTAGCTTAATCTTGAAGCCAGATAGGTTTTTGCCCCCACTACTTCTGTTGGAAGGCTGTTCCAGAACTTCACTCCTCTAATGGTAAGAAACCTTCATCTAATTTCAAGTCTAAACTTCCTGGTAGCCACCTTATATCCATTTGTTCTTGTGTCCACATTGATATTGAGCTTAAATAATTCCTCTCCCTCCCCAGTATTTATCCCTCTAATATATTTGGAGAGAGCAATCATGTCTCCCCTCAGCATTCTTTTGGTTAAGGTAAACAAGCCAAGCTCCTTGAGTCTCCTTTCATAAGACAGGTTTTCCATTCCTCGGATCATCCTAGTGGCCCTTCTTTGTACCTGTTCCAGTTTGGATTCATCCTCCTTAAACATGGGAGACCAGAACTGCACACAGTATTCCAAATGAGGTCTCACCAACGCCTTGTATAACGGCACTAACACCTCCTTATCCCTACTGGAAATATCTCGCCTAATGCATCCCTAGACCGTATTAGCCTTTTTCACGGCCATGTCACATTGGCGGCTCATAGTCATCCTGCGATCAACCAGGACTCCGAGGTCCTTCTCCTCTTCCGTTACTTCCAACTGATGTGTCCCCAGCTTATAACTAAAATTCTTGTTATTAATCCCTAAATGCATAACCTTACACTTCTCACTATTAAATTTCATCCTATTGCTATCACTCCAATTTACAAGATCATCCAGATCTTCCTGTATGATATCCCGATCCTTTTCTGAATTGGCAATAGCTCCCAACTTTGTGTCATCCGCAAATTTTATTAGGACACTTCCACTTTTGGTGCCAAGATCAGCAACAAAAAGATTGAATAAAATCTGATTCAATCCAGAACTGATTCCTGAGGAACACCGCTAGTAACCTTCCTCCAACCTGACAGTGCACCTTTCAGTATGACCCGCTGTAGTCTTCCCTTCGGCACACTCCCACTTTTGCTGCCTAGGTCAGTAATACAAAGATTAAATAAGATTGGTCCCAAAACTGATCCATGAGGAACTCCGCTAGTAACCTCCCTCCAACCTGACAGTTCACTTTTCAGTATGACCCGCTTGCTGGCAAGGGAAGATGGGAAGCAGGGAAGAACGGCTGGCAGGAAGCAGGGCTGGCCGGGAGGGGGTTGGAGGGAGCAGGGCTGGCTGGGAGGGAGTCAGGGGGTGGAACTGGCCAGAGGGAAGCAGGGCTGGCTGGGAGGGGGTTGGGGAAGCAGGGTTGGCCCTGGGACACACACATCCCGGGGTGCTGGTCCCGGCGGGGGGCACAGGCGAGGCCCGACCGAAGGG